TAGGGCGTGTGCACTCACCAGAGAGACAGAGAGACAGAAAGCGAGAAATCATCGCCCCAGGGGGGTGGCCATGATGCAATCCCTTCTCCTCCATTCTCCTCTTGGGATCTTGGGCATGCACGCACATGCGCCTGGCGTAACTTTAAGCCACCAGGTCTAGGGCTTGAACTGCTGTGGTCAATTACATGTGAGTTCAGCGACATAGCCATTATGCTAACTGCTGGTCCCTCTATACCTTTCTTTGAACTTATATTTTTCATTATTTCTTTTTACTAGGGATAAAACCAGAAACAATAAAATTATGCAAACAAGTAAAAAGGATTCAGACTATCTTGGAAGAAATTCACAAATGTGACTGCTGTCAAATATTTTTAAATGAAATGAAAAATAGATTAGAGATAAATATAATCCTTATAAAAAGGTCTCTTCTTGTTTTTGAGTATCAGATCTATTTTCTACATGTCCTAGGCTATGAGATCATTTGACAGTGTCCCTGGCTTATTTGTCACTAGAATTTCTAAGATAGAAGTTAGCCTTCACTTACAGGTAGATAGGGTAAGGGCCCCAGAAAGAAGTCACTTTTTCTTTAATGAAGTCTCTGTGTTTTCCCTCTATGGTTTGGTTAATGTACAATATACACCCTTTTTGCATGTCTTTAAAGAATGTATGCCTCCTTGCTAATAAGGCAGGAGACAGGGATCTTGATTACACAGACAAAGAAAGGCCAAGATGGAGTCACTGTGGCTAAGTTTTCTCAGCTGGAAGTTGGCTGCAGTGGGACTCAAAGCAACTCTAAGAACGACGGTTTCTACTTGGTAACTATATTCTAACAAGAAGTGTAAAATGCTGTGATTTGCTGAACCCATGAAGAATAGGGTAATAAATCATTCAGACTACCATGTAACTTTTTCTTTCTTTCTTCTTTATTTATCTACTTTTAAAGGTTTTTTGTTGTTGTTGTTGTTTGTTTGTTTGTTTTACCATAGGGCATATGAGCTTACTGGAGAGACAGAGACAGTGAGAGGAAAAATGAGAAATAACCCCTGGGAAGATGACCAAATTGCAATCACTTCTCCTTCTTTTTCATCTTGGTGTTTTAGGCATGCAGGCACATGTGCTTAGTGTGAGTTTCAAGCTCCAGGTCCAAGAATCAACCCACAGTCAACCAAATGGGAATCAAGCACCTTAACCACCACACCACCTTCTGGCCCCTATGTAACTATTTTCTAAAGCCCACTTTCTTATCAAAGAGCCAGCCCAACTGCTTGGACTGCTAGATAAAAACTCCTTGCTACCAATTCCTCTTTGGTAACCCATTCAGAACCCCTTTGCTTGAGAGTTCTGTTCTTCTTTCCCTTTCTTAATAAACTCCACTTGGCTATCTACTTTCTGTGCCCATGTCTCGAATTCTTTCTTTTTTTTTTTTTTT